AAAAGTTGCATATCTTTCTCATTCATTTGAAAATGACATCTAAAACTGTTTTCATCATAATTGAGTCATAAAATATAAATGTTCTGATAGTTATATAAAATATACATAACTGTTCTGATAGTTATGTACACCATCAAAAATTTGATTCTGCRTATTTAGTTAATTCAATTTATGAGAAAGTCCTCCATATTGCCCAATCAGAAAAAACAGTCCTTATTGTTGAAATAATCAGCCAAATTAATAATCAAGTAAAACTTTGACTTCAAGTTTTTTGATTTACATATGGTTATTAATGTAGATAAATTCTTTTGATAACTATCTCATATCTGAATTCAAAATCAAAGGTAGAAAAAAGGGAAGAAAGGAAAGGGGGGAGGGAGGGAGGGAGGGAGAGAGGGAGGGAGGAAGGAAAGAGGAGGGGAGGGGCGGGGGAGGGAAGGAGGGGAAGGGATAGGAGGGGAAGGGAGAGAGAGATAGGTTGGCAGTRTCCTTCCTGCCTGAATGAACTTCCCAGAACTTTCTTGGCTTTGCTCTCATTGGACACACCCTCAGGAATTTTGCATCCTAGAACTACACATTTTCTTGGCATTCCACAAGGTTTTTAGACCTCTCAGAGCAATGTGCTCGTAAGATTAAGAAAGAGTGAGAACCATGCCTTTTTTTCCCCTCTCTTCATGTGTGTGTATTCTCTGTATCTAAATATAGACACACACATACACATTCATGCCTCCTCCATATTAACCACACCTGAAGAAAGAGCTATTAATTCCTCTTTTCTTCTCTTATTTGTTGGCTTAAACTTTCAACTCTCAATGGAAATGGCTATGACCTAATTATCCTATTCAATATCATCTTTTTAGTTTTCACAGGTAATTGTCCTATTAGAGGCCAAAGACACTGTTGGATGTGTCCTTTCTTGATTTGGCTCCTTTCTGAGCTTTCTTCAATCACCCTTTCATGGCCATTCCATTCCCCCTTGGTCCTCCTCTCTGATTTTTTTGATGTCATTGGTGATCTCCTCCCACTCCACTCCCTCTCCCTTTCATCAACTCCCCTACATGCTAATGACTCCTATTATCTATATCTCCAGACCAGAATTTTCTCCTGACATCCACATGCATGTATTCAAATGACTGGACATCACTACTGGATGAGAATAAATTCACTATCTTTTTCCAAAATCACGTTCTCCTCATATTTGGTAAAAGGTTACAGCATACACCCAGTTGTCAAAGTTAAGCAAACAAAATTCAGAATCTTTCTTGACTTCTTCTTCATAGCCAATATTCAATCACTCACCAATTTCTAATTCTACCTCTCATTTCTTTTATTGATTCTTCTCCCTATTCAAACTCCCACTCTACAAGGTCAATTTTTAATTATTTCATCTAAGCAATTCCAACAGCTTAATTAGTCAGTCACTCATACACTTTCCAATCATCTGTGTTCCTCATGTTACTTCTTTATTTAAGACTCATATGTTCACATTATCAAAAGAACAAATGCAAACACAAGTTCTTGGTGCAATGCAGTTTTTGGTGAGAGAAGTGGACAAGCAGAGATCTCTTCTTCCTGAATCTGTCTTCCAAGATGAGTAAGAAGAAAGTTGAGGTGAGAAGCATTCAGACACTAAGTTGGTAGGGATGGGAGGGTGCAGACAGCAGGTGAATTTCAAGAGAAATGAACCAACAGTAGCTCTCAGTGGAGCCTTGTCTAGGTCTAGTCTAGGCTCTGAAGCCAAGAGAAAAGAGAGGTGAAGACTGGGTCATGTTTAAGGTCTAACTTTAGTTCAGTTTAAGTTGCTGGCATAGAAGATTAAGCCTGATGTTCAGGATTGGAAGGCTGCACAGGAATAATGAATGTGATAAAAAGGTAGATATGGAGAAAATCCATGAGATAAGACACAATTTATACATAGTAACAGTACTAAGTAGAAATGGTTTCTATACAAACTAGCATCTCATCAATAATATTAAATTCTATATTTAAACTGATGCTTTCAATGATGATTGAGAAATAACTAGTATCTATAACATTTTATTTTCTGGGAAAGGAAAAGGCCCTTAGCATGCTTTTACCTATTATTTCCGAACCACTACAAGTTAYTAACTACTACTTCTTAACTACTACAAGTTACTACCTAACTTGTAGTTTTAATTCTCTGGTAGTTTGAAGTCAGATTGTTACTGTGGTAATGCTATCAGTATTAATTCTAGTTTATGTCACTACATTGAGAGGAATTCTGTCTTAATAATGTAATGAAACTTAAAAGCCATATTATCGACATCAATTCATATTTAACTGAAATCGTGTATTTGTTCATTATTGTTTCTTATAACTCACATTATTCTCTTTCATAAAATCTTTTTTTTTTTTTTAGTTTTTGGTACCAGGGATTAATTCAATCACTAAGCCAAATTTCCAGGCCACCTCCCCACCCCCTTTTAATTTTTTATTTTGAGGCAGGGTCTCACTAAGTTATTTAGGACCTTGCTAAGTTCAGTTGCTGAGACTAGCTTTGAACTTATGATCAATCCTTCCTTAGTCTTCTGAGCCACTGAGGTTATAGGCTTGAGCCATTGAGCCCAGCTAAAATATGTTGCTGGAAAATATTCTAAAGTAAAAACTATTTTTCTTTTCCAGAAAAGGTTCATCAGRGATAAACTTTCTGAATTCTGCCATTTCTAAAAGAAAAAAAAAAAAGGTCTATTCTTCCTTACTCTCTACTGTCACTCAAAAGCTAGTTTTGTAGGATATAGAATTCCAAGATTAAAATGTACTTTCCACTAAAGACAGAAAAAGCTATGTTTTTTCTAAAAATATTTTTTAATTACACATGGACACAATATCTTTATTTTGTTTATTCATTTTTATGTGGTGCTGAGAATTGAACCCAGTGCCTCACGTGTGAGAGGCAAGCTCTCTGCCACTAAGCCACAATCCCAGCCCAGCTATGCTCTTACTAGTAAATTCTTTCAGAATTTATTGTGGATGATGTTAAGTCTAATTCCAATGTGATGTGATTTTTGTTCTTTTGTGACTTTTTTTCTTTTATTTCTGAAACACCAAGTTTAAATGTAGATATAGGTATGAAATTTTTTGTTTGCTTTGCATGAAGTGAATCTTTCAAATCTGAAAACTAGAGTCTTTCTTTAGAAATTCAGCTTATAGAACCTTCTTCTACAAGAAAAAAAAATGACTATTTCTTCTCAATTACTCTTAGTTTTAATGTATTTTTGTGTACTATTTTGGTTTCATTTTTTACTTTATATTCTTAATTATTAGACTATATCTTCCAGSTAAATATTTAGCCATTTTGAACATAGTATTACTCTTTTCTACTATATTTATTATTTTGCCAAATAATTTCAAAAAAACATTTCTCTGTATTTCTTTTTTATAACCACCAATTTGGGCTATTCTTAGAGTATTCTTTCCAAGAATATTAATTTTAAAATTTTAATGGTACATTCTGTTCCTTTCTTTACCTCAGTTTCCTCTGAAGTTAGTTCTGCTTACTAATCTTGGTTTGTCTTTTTTATTATTATTACAGCATGATAGTTGTACACAGTAGTTGGATTCATTTTGACAAAATGATACATGCAAGGAATTTGATTCCAATCCCCAATTCCCCCATGTGGTTTTTTCTCTTTAATATCATTTCTTAAATATATGGTGATCCTTTGTTGTCATATTTATGAATGAAGGACTGAGCTGATATGGAAAGTAACCAATGGGGATTATTCTTCAAATATGTATGTTGATCTTCACCCAATAGACTTCTTTCTTGCTCCCTAAATAATATAATTTAAACATAAAACTGTCTTTGAACTTTCAAAGGAATCATATTGTATAGTTATTCTGCAACTTGTTATTACGTATTTATTTACTTACATTATTTTTTTGTGGTGCTAGGAATTGAACCCACAGCCTTGTGCATGCTGGGCAAATGCTCTACTACTGAGCTACCTCCCCAGAACTAGCTAAATATTTTTTGTGAGATTTATCAATATCAAGGAATATATCAAGTTCATTTTTAATTGCTTCATTATATGATATAGTATAAATAGACTACTATCTTATTATTCATTTCTTATAGATGGACATTTGAGATCATTTTAATTGTTTGCTGTGATAAACAATGGTTCCATTAATGAACTTGTCTCCTCTATTCCTAGCATATATCACAAATGGTTACATCTAGGATACTATTTCGAATCATGTAAAATTTATTAAAGAAATAAAATCCTTTAGATAAACGCATTCAATAGAAAGAAATAGCATTGGCAACAAAGACTTCAAAGTAAATCTCTAAACTGATTTWAAAAAATGCTAGAGAGAGACAACTGAAAAGATATCTTCAAAAGAAAATAAAACAGGGGCTGGGATTGTGGCTCAGTGGTAGAGCGCTTGCCTAGCACAGGCAGGACCCGGGTTCGATCCTCAGCACCACATAAAAATGTGGTGTTGTGTCCATCTACACCTAAAAATAAATAAATATTCTAATTCAGTTGTTAATGACGGATAAGAAAAGTGAGTGAGGCCCAGTAAAATTATGTAACCTCTTCAAGGTAAAGCAGACCTGACTGGGCTTTCACTGCTGGCTATAGCTACAATAAAAGAAGTCAAACTTCCCACCATGCTTGCCCTTCTCTGTAAGTAACAGGTAAATGCGGATAATTTTCTTATTATCCCCAAATTAAGAACTTCAGTTTTTCTTTCTTCTGATTTACAGGGTATTTGTTTCAATTGCACAAATCAAGTAGAACTTTGTAAGCACTGCATCAGACACTAGTTTTATTTGGTATTTTGAAACTGACCAGAAGAAGGCATTGCTCAAAAATTCTTTTTGCATAAACATTGTTTWTCACTTTTTTCCACAAGATCAATCTAACCATACCATACAAGTCAAAGGCAATTAGTGACCTGTGGCAACATTATTCAATATAGTATTAGAGACTGTAGATTGATTGACAGATTGATTTGCAGTTCGTTCCTACCTTTGCATTTTCAATGCATGGACAGAGGGCCCACGCTGCACTGGCCTTCACGTCTGGGTGCGGATTTTTCAGCAGGGACCACAACAAACGAACTCCATCTAAGCGATCAATTATTCTATGGTGAAATAAAAAAATGGTGGCATAAACTGTTATTAGGAAGTGAAAATGAAAACTTGACCCATCTATTCACACAATACTAACTTTTTTTTCTCATTTTGACATTTTGCTTCCATTTTTTTTTTCAAAACATCAAAAGAACAGCAGGATTGTAACATGCTGTTGACTCGTCAGCCCTCTGATTTGGGTTAAGTTCACAACACGAAAAGCAAGCTGCATGATAATTACGATTCACATAAACTTAAAATCAAGCCACGTAATTTTTTAATTAGCGGTACACAGACTGTTACCTAAAGTTAAAAATACTGGTTTCTTTCATATAATAACATCTAAATACTTTCCAAAACAAATATTTATGCCTCAAAGCTGTGCAGTTACCTTTTTTATTTGGTCTATGTTTAATTGACTTACCTTACTGTATGACATATTTTAAACTCCTTCAGTCCAATCTAGCATTAGGAATTAAAATCATTACACCACAGTGCATCCTTTGTTGGGCACGAATAACACATAACTTGTTTTCCATGTGTTCCCTTCCCAGCAAGACTAACATTGCAGACTGTGTTATAATTACTTAAACACACTGTAATCAAAATATCTTCATGACTAGCTGAAAAATGAATTATCATCAGAGTCATCTCTACACCATCTGTCTTCTGTTTATATATCAATCAGTCCAGGGAGCATAACCTTGCAATAAGGTCCACTGAGTACTTGGAGTTGAGAAGGCCAAACAAAACTTAATGTTCTTCACAAACATGGCTTTGTTCAAAAAGATATATTAAACTCAAAGCAGATGAAAAAAGATAAAGAACATCAGAATTTCTTTGATTTTTTTTTTAATATCCCGTTGAATTAAACACATGCAGTACTTAGCCACAGAATAAATTCTCCTGGCTTAAAATGCCATGTAAACTGTTCCTTGAACATTGACATTAAAAAAAAAAAATCTACATTTCTTGATTACCTGAGATGAGTTTGCCAGGGAAAGAAAAGTATTATTTTTCCAAGTAAGATATCAGTTTTGCATAACTTTGTAAAATGAGTGACGTAAATAGCCTGTAGTAAGATATAAATGGTCTCTTTAAAAATGACTTTTAATAGGAAAAAAAAAAGGTGCACTGACACCAAAATTTAGCTAAAGAGCTTGTCATACATACTTAAAGCTTTCTGACAATGCTTGCTTGAGAACAGAGTTTTATTTCTCAAATTATGGAAACTGTAAAGATACACACTAGGTACTTCACAAAGAAGGATTTAATCTTAAAATTTAAATTAAAATGGCTACTGCCTTATATACTCTACTGAAAATGTAATTAATGCTGATCCCAGCATCTCTGTATTTTTTCACAAAATTTTACGGTGAACAGCAGGGAATGACTGTCTTCCTTCTCACAGACTTTTCAGCAAGTTTATCAYTTATAACATTTAACTATCTACTGTTAGGTATAAATTGTCATTGGAATGGAAGTCATTTACACACACTCAGTTTAAAAAAGTATAGCTCAATCCTGAACACCCTTCCCCAGAGAAAATTTCACAATAAATTATAAAAATTCGTTATTAATTTAAAAACTATATCTATTATCCCCCCACCCTCATCTCCAACACTAAGCAATTCATCAGCTKCCTAGTTATGAGGGATGAGGATTGTGACCTCAATACTAGTATCTAAAAAAAGATTCAGCACAGAATGGAGTAATTACCCAGTATGAGAAAAATATTATTAAAAAATTTTCCAGCACAGGAAATAACAAAGTCGGGGATAGCAAACTTCAAAGTTTAGTCTCACCCTTCCATTGCCCCACCCTCCACATGAAATCATTTACTTCTGATTTCTACTTCATTTGCTCCAGTACCTGCCCCTGCTTCCCTGTTCTCTATGCCAGCACCCTACTCCAGGTCTTTACTATCTTAAGTCAGGATTGCTCTAGAAGGGGCATAACTTAGCTTTGTGTTTTCATTCTCTCTCCTTTTCCATGCATCCTATGAATCCCTGTGAAACTAACCTTCCTAAAGAAACTCTTAGAGCTTCTTCAGAAGCTTCTTATGATCAGGATCCCAGGGATATTCATTCTGTCCATGACACTATCTACACCGTTTTATCAACTTTGGTGAACAATTCACAATGAAAAGATCATTTTCAGGRCAAAAACATCTCCAATGACTTTTCATTGCCTGCATGATGTTAAAACCCCAATTCCTGAGGCTCAGTATTGAAAATTTTAAGGAAGCTAAATTATTCTTCCCAATATAAGTAATTTCTCATAAAACTCCTTGACTATCTATTAAACACTAAGTACTATGCACAGAAATAACACAAAAACACAGCCAATTTTCCTTACCAGGAGTCGCTATACATTCTACAAAGTCACTGCTAACACTAACTGAGCAAATACTGAAGCACTATAACTAGAGGAAATACAAAATTTTCTTCCTGTGAGTCTCCAGTCTGAACACTTTTATCAATCAATCAATATGTACCTTGTTTTCTTTTTGTTTAAAAAGACTTAATTTAATATCTTGAAACACTAACATTGAACATATGCACACACATCATGCCTGAACAAAGATGACTTAACACAAATATTTCCTCTCTAAAGTACTTCGCAATATTCTAGTGCTTAGAAAAACTAGATGGCATTTCAGAATAATGCTCAGGGGCCATTTGAAACAGCAAAATCACCAACCTGAAGCACTAAAAAGACTGTCAAAAGCACACTATTTTACAGGAGACAAGGTGTCTCCTGGTATCAGCTGGGAACATGTGCATTGGGCAACTGGAAATTGTTCACTGCTCTCACAAGTCCACAAGTGAGAGAGTAGAAGTATGAAGGCATATCTGTAAACTTTGTTTACAAGTAAAGTTCAGTGGGTGCAGGAGTTCATCAATACAGAATCTAAAAATGAGAGCTGACTGCATGTTAATTTTCCTTCAGGAAATGACAGTCTAGTGAGGGCCATTATAACCTATTATAAGGATGCCATAGTAKATTTCTTCATAGGGTTCCATGTGGGGTTCCTTCTAGACTACACAAACTCTTCTCTCATCCATCAGAGACGCCCATGCCACCTCTATCTTCTACTCAAATAAACTGTCATTTAAGGTCATAAAACATCTCTGCCATAAATCCTCTGGCTTCCCCCTTCTTAAGTTTTAAAAATTTGCATCCTCCTTTCTGGAATTCCAAATGATCTGCTTTTTTGCCTTGTACCCATGTGTGTACACTTCTTATCTCCTCAATTACTGTGTGATCTCCTTCACAGCAGGAATCATCTATTGCCCATCATGCATAGGGCATAAAACCATAGCCAGCAAATGTTGCTTAAATGGATCTGAAACAGGACACTTTTRCTTACTTCTTTTCCAAAGAATCAAAAATCTTTCCTAGTACATTCCTTTTTAAACGTCAACTTCCAAAGTACTTTCAAATTCAAAGTACTTTCAACTTTCCAATTCTATATCTAACCAGCAATACTTTTCTTTGAAGCTGTCTTTGAAAGTATATTTGCACAGAATTTCTTTACAACTTTGCTGGKTTTTGCATATACACTGATGGGTTTGTAGGTGGTATTGATTTACATCACTGTTCATTTTCAGTGGGTCTACCCACATTTGTCAAGTTCTTTTACCACCTTATTACTATCTTGTTCTCAATTCATTTCCAGTGGTATGCAAGTTCTTCTCATTTATCAATAGAATTTTACAATAATAGCTGGACTTTTAATTAAAACAAACCTAAATTATGTTTTTCAAAATCTTCAACTTTATCATGGAAATCAAGTTGCCTGCCTATTAGAATAAYAACTCTAGAAAGACATTCACATTCAAGCTGTTTTTTTTTTTTAAACCAAACAAAAAGACACAGCTGCTTGTTATGTTTCTTGATTTCTCTTGTTACATTAACATTTGCCAGGACTGTTACAAAGTCTGGCTGGCTCCCCTTACTGTTGAGACCACATATGTGAACAAATGTGAACAGTTTGTGACCATATCATGGGCTTTGGTAGGGTTAGGTAGGGTTTCCTTCTGGCAAAACCAATACATCTATTTTGAAACCATAATTTGCATGTTTTCTAAAAATTTCACAGTACTTGCTGAAAATTACCCCAATGAACACTATTGTATGACRGCAGAATAGCTCAAACCAAGTGTGGCAGGCAGAATAACATCAAGTGACCCAAAAGAACATGATGTTCTTAAACCACAACACGAAGAGATGCAACTGAAATCTACAGATTTTGAAACCATGTTGGAAAGTCAACCTAAAGGGAAATGCAAATGCATGTCAGAATTAAAATGATCATCCTTATTAAAAAATTAATTAGAAAAGAATTTTGCTTTAAAAAAATTCCTCACAGTTTTTGTGGTTTTTATCTGTGTGTTATTCTAAAGAGACATTGGGAGACCAAATGTGGAGAAAAAACAGTCACTAGAGAAGAATATCAAGATTTTCTAGGTCTTGGTAAGGCAGAAAAATATTCTTTTACCAGGAAAAAAAAATTATTCATTCACATATCAGGTATTGAAACACATCATGTGGCAGAAAATGTTCACATGTCCAACTCTTAGTAACGCACAGTTGGGTCATTTAATTATGCTGGTGAACATCAGATCTCCCCTTTGTGTAAAGATGCAGTTCTCCCTTTTCATTGACTAACAATCTGTGGGGCCATACTTTGTCCCCCTGAGATGGTCCTGTCTCAGTAAACTTTTCCTATTTTACAGTTTTGCTTTCTGTTTTACCTTTATATAACTTTGGCCAAAAGATCTGATGAGAACCACTTAGAGGAAGAAAAGTGTCTGTGGAGGTTCAGTCCAGAGTGTAGGCCCAAGTGTGGCGGAACATGATGGCAAAAGGGCAGGGAGGAGGAAAGCAGYTCACAACATGGCAACTGGGAACAGAGAGAGAGCRCTGCTCTTGGGGACAAAGTATAAACCCCAAAGGCAGCCACCAGTGACATATGCCTCCAGCCACACCCTACCTACCAACCACG